CACTACAAACTAACTGCAGCACACCCACCAGCCCCGTGCCGACGGCCAGGTTCATGAAGCGGAGGTTGAGGAACAGGTCCAGGTCCATGGCGAGCGCCACGCGCTTCATGGCGGCCAGGACGCCGCCGTGGCGGTCGCCGGCGCCCTCCAGGACGGCGACGGCGGGGGCCGGCTTGGCGTCCTTGGGCGGGGGCGCCGCCACGGGCTCGTGCAAAGGCTTGTCCTTCTTGGGTTTGAGCGGCTGAGACTCGGAGGCCTCGACCGGGTCACTGTGCAAAGGAAGCGGAGAGTTAGAGACCACACACGACACCACGAGGCATCTGTTGCTTGCAGGGCGCCTGCAGTTGTACAGCCGGGGGTCCTGCGAGACACCTTTCACATCTCACGTGCCGCGCCCGCTTAGCGAAGAATGGTTGGCTTAGGGAGTACACCAAAAAATATGGAGCATTCACATGCCTCGTGAGAACAAAAAAAAAGGGGGGGGATTTGTCACATGGTGATTTTTTTTTTTTGTGTGCCTCAACCATTTCTTATGGTGCTTCCCGAGCAAACCATACCGTTTTTGCCATGGCTATTATTTTTGCGGTGTTTGCGTGTGTGCAATAAACAGCTCGATCCGCATGATCAACACAACACAACAAAATCGTCGCCGTACTGATCGCCGTCGCCTGCCATCGCCCGTTTTATCGATAAGCCGCACATAATCCTGGCGAAAAAGACCAGGACGTGCCCGACGCCACGGCACCAGGAGTGCGCCGAGGGGTCCTCTACACAAGCGTACACCAATTTGTCTATTTTTATTTGATTTCTCCCGATTTTTTCCTGATTTCTTCTGTTTTTTTCCTGACTTTCTGATTTATTCTTTTGAGTGTATAGGACCCATCAGAGGGCGCGCTCGCGCTCACCGTATGAGCCTGGGCTTGCGGAAGAGCAGGCAGCCCGGGATGGAGTGCAGGGCGAGGGCGCCGATGATGAGGACGCAGCCGTGGAAGCCGTACTCCTCCAGCAGGACGCGGACCAGGTGCGGCAGCGCGATCTGGCCCAGCCCCGTGCCGGCCAGGGAGATGCCCACGGCCTGCGACCGGCGCGTCGAGAACCAGGCCGAGATGTTGAGGAAGGTCGCCGGCACCAGCAGCCCGACGCCCAGGCCTGCCGGAAGTAAAAAGGGGAAGCCCCAGTTTCCAGATCAGTAAAAATGTCATAATATCGCCGGCGAGGCGTCGTAGTAGAATGTGTCTGCGGGGCGTGTGCTGCGTACCGACCAGGAAGCCCCAGGTGAGGAAGATGTGCCAGGGGTCCGTGGCGAAGTAGGACAGCGACATCCCGCAGCTGGTCAGGAGGCCGCCCATCAGCGACACCGCCCTGGCGCCCAGCCGCTTCACCAGCGGCCCGACCAGCAGACCTGCGAAGAACCAGCAACGTCAGGAAAATTGCAAAGGAAGTGGGGTGATTAAAAAATAACAACGTTAGGGGTCGTCCCATTACCACGTTTCTTAGGGGGTATAAGTATTATGTTCCAAAAGGATCAGGACCGTCATTGAAGCTCGTAGGATTGTACCCCAGGGTACAAATTTTATCTGGTCTCTATGGACTCCAAAGATGTCGCTGATCCTTTTGGGACCCCATAATATTTGACCCCCCCCCCCTCTAAAAGTCGCGTCGTATTGGAACGACCCCTTTGGAGTGTAAATAGAACTGCTTGGGACGGCGTGATGACGCCATGGCGCCTGCCGACAGCCGGTTAGGCCCCCCTGCCGTACGCCGGAGCGCACCGGACCGGACCCCACCACCTCACCGGAGAAGTTCTGCACCGAGGTCATCGTGCTGCTGATGACGGCCACGCCCGTGGTCTCCAGCCCCCAGGCCTCCAGCTGGCCGCCGAACAGCAGGCCGAACACCGAGAACAGGGCCATATTGGTCATCTAGAGAGAGAGAGAGAAGAGGAACCAATATAGCACGTGCGGGTGAGGGTTGGCGTGGATGACCACCAAACGGCCACTAACCGTTTTCGATCTGCGTGATAACGTGCGACAGGTGACAGATGTCCGTCGTACGGTATTTCTATCATGGTTTTTACTCGTTCTTTACCTCCATTCTCACTTCCCTCTCGGAGGTGGAAGAACGAGTATTGTGCTTGGTCTGGTGT